CACCAACCAGCAACAAAACTCAGGTCAAATACAAAGAGCAAAGTTGGTAAACGTTAAAGTGAAAGCACCCATATTTCCTTTGTGTTAAACAACAAACAACAGAAAAGGGAAATCTGTTGCGACCACTCTACTTAAGAACTGTTGGTGAATACATTTGAGGTTAGTTTGTGTGTCTGCCAGGACATATCCACTCTTGTCAAATCAAAATGTGTCCCACAAAACTGAATACCCTCAAAAAGGGAAAAATATCATCTTCTAATTCTATTGCAAGTCTGCTGCACCTGATGCATTGCAGCGCTTTTAATTGACAAAGAATAGATGATCTTGTCTCCTGGGCAACTTCCACTGCAACCAATGGTAAGGGGAAAAAAAAACAACAAGCTTTAAAGATTTTTTTTTTCCCCTCCACATTAACAGAAACTCAAACTTCATTGATAAATGTATCTGGCTTCCTCTGAGATACTAGGTACAAGTCAAGGAGGGACTTAAGCTGCATTTATAGCATCTGGCACATTTTCTGTAGTTGGCTTGCCAAAAGGAAATACTCAGAAATTTTAGATAAGGCTGCAAGATCAATTACATGCAAGCATTTTGATTTCCTCTTTGCTTAACAATAAATGTACATATCATCTGCTTATACTTGAGTATCTTAATTACCATGCTAGAAGGAAAATAACACAAACTGGGACAGATTCAGCTTTAGGGTTAAAAAGAAATCTAATTGCTAAATCTGTAGTTTAGCTGGGAAAACTTTTCCATTTAATCTTTCACTACCACAGTCTGGAAGGCAGTGTATTTTGCAAAGATGAGCCTAGGTCATGAAAGTCTGTTAGGTAATTATGTCAAAATCCAAAACAAAACTGGTGACAAGTGGAAGCATTTTCTAGAACTCTCCTATGGTTTTATGATGCTATGCTATTCAGATAAACACAACCCTTGTTGGAGTATGTGATCATTTTAAATATATCCCAGGCAACTTGGGGAGGGTCTATTCTTGATCAAAAAGACAATGATGAACTTGATTTTGATCACCGTCATCATGTTATTTCATGTTATTCTAGGCCTTCTGAACCCATCAATTTTGCTATTGTTTAAAGGTGGGCTCCCCAATGAGTTGATCACAGTTAATCAGAAGGGAGAATAAAAGTGCAGCCTAGCCTGTTGTGGGAAGCCAGGTGGGCAGCTGATGGTAGAGAAACAAAGAGCTGGAAAAGTCCATTTACTTATTCCTGCATCCCTGAAGCCGTCCCCGAACAATATACCCTTCGAAATAGCCTTTGCTGAAAATGACTCCACTCCTGCCTGAGGCGGCCCATTCCACTTTTGTATAGCTCTAATCCTTAAGTTATTACTGTGCTATAAGAAATGATAAATGTAATGACTCCAGAGAAGTATTGAAAGACTTTATATGAAACAATGTGAAGTGAAGGAAGAAGAACCAGGAAAACAACACACACAGTGACTACAACAAGGTAAATGGAAAGAGCCAGGACAAAACAAGTGAAACTGAACATTGTGAAATTATGAAGAACAAACATGGCCTTAGAGGATGAGGAGAAGCCTTCTCCCTGCAATACCACAGCAGAGGTTGGGTCCATGGATGTGAAACATGGTGGATGACAGATTTTTTAAAATGTGCTTTGATCAGTTTTGCTTATTTCTTTTTCTTTTTTTTCCTTTTTCTGCTTAAAAAAATCTTTGTTATAAGTGATGTCTTTCTGGAAGAAGGCAGCGGGACAGATACAGAAGAAATCTAGGCAATGTGAAAATAAAACTTATTAAAATCTAATTAAAAAGAAGCTTTTCTTTGTATCAAGCTTAAATCTCTCAGTAACCTCCATCCAATGCTTCTTGCTTTGTCCTGTAAGGTCCAAGCAAAAAAAAAGGAATTTTCTTGGCTATAAATGTTCCTCACTGTTAAGTATTACCTATATGGTATAATACAATGGACAGTACCTGGCCCATAGTAGGAGTTTAATATAGTTTAGCTGTTTGTTTAACAAGTGGCCTTGTTTTACAGCTAGCAAAACCAAAGGTGTGGAATACAAACATACAACTTCTATCCACTCACAAATACTTTGTGGAAGATTTGGTGCCTGAGTAATAATCTAAGCTGCCAAAGGGTGTGGATATTGATTCACCTAGATAACTAGGAAGCAACCATACAATATTTTCATTTTACAGGACAATGAGGGAACAACAATTTAATCTCTAGATATTGGGAAATATTTGCTAATTCTTCTACTCCTCCCTAACTGGTTCCTTCTTTTACTCTTCACCAAAAATATTCCAAATCTCCCGTTTTCTCTTTAACCATCCCTCAATTCATTGTCCCTGCATGCTCTCAGATAAGGACTTCAACCCTTACTTTACTGAAAAAAACTGAGGTCATTTAGTGTGAGCTCACTTTTTTCTATCACGTTCATCTTAAAATCCCTTGACATCATTTCCCACTCTCTCCTATCCTCTAGTTTCTGATCATTAAGGTCGTATTTTTTTTTTTTCTTGTCAAGGCTAACATCTCCACTTAAACCCTTTCTTATCCACCTCTCTTCTCAAGCACCTATCACTCTAATTGTCAATCTCTCCCTCTGTACTGGTTCCTTCCTTACTGCCTTCAAATATACCCAAGTTTATCCCATCCTTAAAAATCTTAAAAAAAAAGATCCCACCATCTTCTCAGGCTGCCATTGTATATTTCTCCTCCTTTTTTCACTCAAATTTCTAGAAAAATAATATCTACACGTGCTGCCTTAATTTTCTTTCCTTCCCCTCACTTGTTAACTCTTTGCAATTTGGCTTCCTACCTTAGCACTCAAGAGAAACCACTCTCTCCAAAGTAACCAAGGACCTTGCAATTGCCAAATGACCATCTTTCTCAGTCTCAGATCTTATCTTTTTACTCGAAGAAGAAAGGTGGTAGAAATTATCAAATAATTCATATCCTATATATTTATCCCTAACAACGTTTTTCCTACCACTTTTAGCATAGGTAGATTTAGTCCTTATCCTAATATTTTGGGGGTTACAAATCTGTATCATACATAAGAATAAGACCATTACCATAAAGTAACATTGCTAATAAATAGCTTAACACTTACTAGAATGGCATTTTTTTATTATTAGATAATTTTTGTATCTCAGCTCTATAACATATGCTATTACCAATGCCTACTCTACCAAAATTTTTTTTCGCTTTTAATAATTTTCAAAACTCATGCACATACCATGAGTATTGGAATTCAGGGAACAGAGATCCCCTCCCCCTAATGCACTAGGGCAATGACAATTGAAAGACACCATGAATATAAAAACAATTGCTTCAGAGCTCAGATATAGTAAATATTGCTATCCTGTTGTCATAAGCATGTTATATTTCCTAATAAGGCACAAAAAAACCTGTTTTTATTTAAGGTAACATTATGCTAAGGGGAAGCTACAGCATAAGCCAATTTTAACATGCCAAAAGTTACCAGAGCAATAAACAGTTATTAACAAGCAAATGTTATTAGACACTCATACTTCATGAACAAAATATAAATCAATGGATTGACGAGGTCTTCTCCTTTGGCAAAAGTATACAGCAGTCTGATGATAAACACTGTAACATTTATTGAGTAATACCACCTTTCTCAAAGACCATGCCAAAGAGAATAGCAATTGTGTGATAATTGCAAAATCATATGCCCCTTAGAAGGGAGGAATAGATGACGAAGGAAGCCTAATTGTAGAAACAGAAATGAAAAAAGTGCACCTTCCTGCTTAAAATCTGTGCTCCTATGTGATGCAGTACTATGTCCTAATTGGAAAAGGATGGCTCTTCTCAAATGGCTTTTTTAATGCCCCATGGCTCTACACTTCCTTCGTGTTTCAGCATGATTCTTAACTACAAGTATAAAAAAAATAGTTTTCATGATAGAAAAAGGGGCAGTGCCTACTTTCTTATGTCCTTACTCTCACTAAAGGTATTTTTTCTAGTTGCTTCTCACAATATTTACTTCTTCTCTTGGGAGAAAAAACATCAGATTTGAGACTTGCCAATCATGCAGACCTTTTTTCCAAAATTTAGACCTACTTAATGCAATTCTACTCATTTTACTTTAATTTTCCAGAGAATAAGTCACTTCCCAGTTCCGTTCAGTGCTTCTCTGAAAAGCAGGTACTGATTTCTTCTATCTCGTGTTTACAAGGACCTCATCAAGCAAAAAAGGAATCCCAGTTTTTCAGGAAAAGGTCTCTTGCCTGCCAAAGGCTGTTATGATCATAAAAAATCTGCTACTAGAAAAAGAAAGTAAAAGAGAATAAAAAAAGATAGTATGGCACTGAGTTTTTTCTTATCACAGCTAAGATTTATATGGGTCTTTTAAGGTTTGCAATTTATGTGTTTTATTACATTTGGATTTTTATAAAGAAAATTCATTCTCTCTGACCTTCGGTTTATTTCTCCTCTCATTTTTTATGTGGTACATTTCCCAGTACAGGCATTTTATATGATACGTGTCAAATAATATACACACATATGTGTATACACATACCAACAATAAATAGTTAGGGGACACGGAGGATAGAAGACTGGGCAGAGTCAAGAAAATCTGAGTTCAAATCTGGCAACAGACACTTACTAGCTATGTGATCTTGGGGAAGTCACTTCAACCTGTGTCTTCTTCAGTTTTGAATGTAAAATGAAGATAATGATAGCACCTACCTCCCAAGGTGGTTGTGAGGATCAGATGAGAAAATATCTGTAAAGAACTTAGCATAGCAGCTGACACATAGTAAGCACTTGTCCCCTTGCCCCCTTTCCCATTAAATTGTTTAGTGGGTTATGTTCTATTATTTACTCCATGGTAATTAAATTAAATTTGAATTGCTCTAATGGCTACAATCCAACCAATACTTTCCTTGATAAATATGGTAAAGAGTAGCTATGTGTTACAAGCACCAAGAGAACCAAACAATTAACACCCGGGAGTGTCATGCCTGGTCTCTTGGTCCCTTACCTTCTGGGAGATCCATCTTCATGAGGCTGAATGATGACTACCTTGACTGTCACAGACGTACGTAACAAATCAATCATCTGCTCGTGGGTCAGGGTAGCTACAGCTACTTTGCAGATCTCAACAAGGCGGCTGCCTTGGCGGAGGCCAGCCTTCCAAGCAAAGCCAAAGGGTTCCACATCTGCTACGATTCCTTCAAAGTTGACATGGAAGCCAAGTTGGCCCAGCCCATTCCTCCGCAATGTCATTTCCACGGTTTCACATCCTCGGGTCACTATCTAAAAGAGTACGAGATGGTTAAAAAAGCAAAATAAAAAACTACTATCCCCCTCAATAGCTCCCTTGAACTTATGGAGACACTCATTTTTAGAGCTGTTTATTGTGATGGAATACGGTGCCCATCACACACTAATATAGGGTCATCACTGCTTAGGCATTTGTAGATGACAAAGGTTTTCCTCTGTAAAATTCATTATCACAGGGATTTTTCAGATCTCTAAAATCTGGTATTTCGCCTCCCTTTCCTAGAGGTGACAGCCAGCTATCTACTTTCTGTAATATTTAAACACAAAGACAAAAGTATCACTTCACCATAACTGGAGTATCAACTACACAAAAAATGAAGTCAAAGCATATCAATAATTTGCTTCTTTCTAAGCAGATAAATATCTCACAGAGAAGCTGTGTTTCCTTATAATTCGCTGACCCACAAACTGAGAATACTTATAATGGGCTAACAAGACAATTTTCACCCTTCCTTTTTTGTATCAGTTTTATAGACCTGCACAGTTTTGGAAAGAAGTAAATTTATGTGTGATATGGGGAGGAGGGGATTTCTTAGTAGAAACTATCCAAAAGTAGGATGTAGGACAGGCTGTCTGGAAAGGTAGTAAATCTTCCTCCCACCTCAAGGGTGTCTCTAAGCAAGGACTGGAGGACCACTTGCTGGACGTGTTGAATAGGTGTTTCTCATTCAAGTATGGGTAAGAATAGATCACCTCTGATACTCCTTCCAGCTCTAACTTCTTTGTAATTTACTTGGCTTTCCAAAATAAAATCCTCTATTAACCAAAGTGTTAATGAAATGCAAAAATAGGGCATTTCTTCAAAGAATACAATATTACTTAGAAAATGTTGACAGAAAACATACAATATTGTCACACAGCTTTTTAATCATCCATTTAGTACAGTTAGGTTAAAGATAAACTTATACCCATACTAGGTGGTTAGAAATATTTTTTAAACAAAAATTGCTTATCTCACCCACCTTGCTTTCTCTTTTTCTATACTCTTATCACTGCTGGCTGACATAGTATAGGTGACCACCATCACGCTGGTTAGTGTGGGAAAAGCTGGTGAGAATCACGGTGGGCTCAAAGAATGTACAATCTACCTGCAAAGGAGGTCTCTGTGGACCATGTATCTGTACACAAAGATTGCCCATCAACACCCCTCCCAATTCCAATAAATCACTAAAAAGATCTCCCAAGGGAAGAAACTGACTCTGGATCCAGAACTAATGAGATGGAAAAGATCTGTGTCCTCCTCTCTTCCTCACTTTTGTTTCTTTTCCCAAGTTCAAGAACTCCAAAGCTGTCAATATTACAAAAACAGACAGTAAAATCTAAAAGTCCATTTTTTTATTTCATTAAGAGAACTGAAAAACTAATGATGCAATCCAATTAGTGTAAATTCTGCAAAATTCTACTCATTTTAGTTTTGCAGAGATTGCTGTCACTACAAAGTTTCCTTCAGTACTTCACTGCTCCTTCTATGACAAGGAGATATTGATTTCTTCTCATCTCTCATTTACTACCTAAGAGGGTAAAAGTATTGAGAAACTGGTGCTCATTAAGTAACACTTGATGATGATGATGGCATTAAGGCATCTGTAAGAAGCTCAAAGCTAGAAAACATCATGCACATTTCCCTAGGTTTGAACCACTGAATGAAGTTTCAGTTTAATAAGCAGTACATCTCCATGAGGCATGCTCTGAATGCCTACTGAGTTATTTTAATAAAAGCTACATCTGTATGAACAGGTGTGGAAAAGGGGCTCCATGTACCACCATTGCGTTGGCTGTTTCTATAGTTACCACTCCTCTATACATTATGAGTCACCTTCTCACACCTAGAAGTGACTGCTTCAGCATTAAAGAACTCTGGAGAGGAATTGCTACCCCTAGTTAGTGACTGAATTTTAAAAGGCTGAAGATTCCTATCTTTAAACCAAACTAATATAAAAGACATCTGCAATACTCTCATGACAAAGGCACAGAACAGATTCTGTACTTCAACCACATTCTTCCACTTTATTCCTTCCCTACCAATTGCAATTCTAATGGTGATACACTCCTTTAAAAATATGCGATGATGCCATTTTAAATTGAGAAGAATTATTCTCATGGAGCCCCCACAAGAAGTCAATCACACAAGCTTTTACAGGACCATATAATGAAAAATATGCACAGAGGCCGGTGACAACATATCCAAAATTACAAGTTAGTGAAGCCCCTATGTGAGTGACAATCCTGAGACTATAGGAGTCTCAACACTTGACACCATCTATGTAGAAATTTCTTGACACTAGTGTTATGTTAGATTCAAAGTGGAAAATACTATCTTCATTTCACAGCTCAAAATACTGATGCACAGAGGAGAAAAGACAAATTTAACCACATAGTTCCTTGATTGGTCAACATTACTGAATACCACTATCACGGTGAAAATGCTCCTTTTGGTTTTTAACTGTACTGTGCTCTTCTAATTCTTTCTGGTCTCTGAAAACTCTCTCCTTTTCCTCTCATCTACTGATTCTTGTTGTTAGCAAAGGCTCATCCTAGCCCCTTTGCATGTCTCCCATTTATTCTTTAATCTCTCCTTGTTTCTGTTCAGTTGTTTTCAGTCATGTCTGATTCTTCGGGACCCCATTTGGGGTCTTCTTGGCAAAGATACTGAAGTGCTTTGCCATTTCCTTCTCCAACTCATTTTATAGATGAGGAAACTGAGACAAATAAGGTTATATGACTTGCTAGGAAGCGTCTGAAGTCAGATTTGAACACAGGAAGATGAATCTTCCTGACTCCAGGTCTGGCATTCTATCCATTGCGTTACCTAGCTGCCTTAGTCCCTCAGAGAATCTCAATCACCCCATACATACATATACATATACGTGTGTGTGTGTATATAGTATATACACATATATATACAAACACATATATACACACGTATATTTTATATATAAAATATGTGTATATATTTATATTTATATATTTATACATACATATATAATGTATATGTGTATATATATACATATATATGTATATATGAAACAAGAGAGACAGAGAGGACTTTTGAAAAGATCCTACTAGCCCTGCTACTTTCTGATCCTCATATTCCTATCTGCATATGGGAGGTTTCCACTCAAATACTGTATAAATGCCTCAATCTTCAATGAAAAATTAGGTGCTTTGGCTTCCTGTGCCAATGAAACATTTCTTTACAATTAATATAGTTTTATCACTCTTACTGGAACTATAAGGTCAAATCTCAACCCTTCTCTTGATCTCATATTGTTTATCAAGGTCTGCTATTTTAGTTTTCCACAATGTCCCTTAAGTTTCACATCTTCTTTTTCCTTATCCATAGTTACCATAATGGCATGACTGCTTCATTTGAAGTCAAAAGACCTGGGATCAGATTATGCTCTGCCAACTTACTAGCTAATGGTTATAGGCAAGACCCTGGCCATCTGTGAGCCTTATGTTTCTTATCTCTATAATGGAGATATTGCCTGCCCACCCTACATCACAGGATTATTAGGAAGACATCACTGCAAAAATGGTTTGTAAGACATTAAAGTGCTACATAAACATCAGTTACCACTGCCCCAAATTTCTATTACCTACATTCATGGTAATTTAAATTTTTTCTTGTTTTAATTTTCAAGTTCTCCCTGATGCAATATATATTACAAACAAACTGGTAGCATAAACTTTGATCTATTATGCTCCCAGATAGCATGTCCCTCCCACACAAGCAAGGAAGGAAGTCTAGAAAACTATGAAATGGGGTCCAGGGGACAGTGAGTAGATGTGTTATACTGTAACCCTCTGGTGGTAAGCGTTGGTGAGATTAGTGTTGTCAGCAAGAATATGCAGTTCAGACATATACATGAGATATATCACGTCCAGGACAGTAACCATTTCCTTCATATTTTATACTTTTGGACACAAGGATTTCTGTGCAATGAAACTGGAATGGGTCTTTCAAACCCAGATTTCTCTGTGACTGATAGAAGAATAAAAGAAGAACGGGAAAAGGAGAAAGGGAAAAAAGGAAGAAGAAAAAAAAAGAAAAAATGAGGAAGAGGAATAGCTATACATTCGCTCTCCCCTAAACTGTTTGGATCTTGGTCTACATAATGAAAACCTACATATCTTTGGGGATAGGAATTAGACATGAGAAATATTATACCTATAGGGTTTTTTAAAATTTCTTGAACTGAACAAAGGAGCACATAGTAACAATTACTTCATTCTCTACTGTCATTATTAATCTATTTCTACTCAAGACCCAAACCAGAATACTTTAATTAGGTAAAAATGGAGCATAGCAAGAGAAAGTCTTAAAGCAGATGGGCAACTTTTTTTATAACTAGTACATGAAATAACAATGAGTCTTCTGAACATCTACTTCAACTTACTGACTTACAGGAATGCTTTTCTAAGACCTTCTTAAAGTATTGTCACTTAATGATTAATAATACATTAAATCTAGTAGGTGGGACACAAATAGATCTGCTGGATAAACATAAATAGGTAGTTGAATTTGTGAGTAAGGCATACGTATTGATGTAGTCAAAGTAGTCTCTGAGACTATTAATTACTTTCTGTGGGTAGACACAGTCATAGTAAGACTCTGTAACTGGCACAATTTCCAGATGAGTCCCTTGTTCTTTCTTGAAAAGATCTCAAAGCTTTCTCAGTGATTGCTTTTCTAATTTGGCTCCACCTAATCTGTTGGAACTCATTAAGCAAACAAATTTCCTTTATTATCCTAAAGGTAAAGGTTGGATTTATCCATTATCTTAGTCATTTGGGTCAGTGTGAATAAATGTCCCATCATCACTACGAGGGAAAGTATATTGTAGTTTCATATTTCTCTGGCAACAGTGCACATTATTTTCAAACTAAGTTGGGACTGTAGTGTTGAGAGTCCTGTATTTTGGATTTTTCATTTTGCTGTGGAATTTTGGATTTGGAGTGTGAGGACTCAAGCTCAAATTCTAGGTCTATTGCTTCCCACTTCTGTGTCCTTTGGGAAATCATTTCGCCAACCCAGCTTTGGGTTTTCTCATCTGCAAAATGACCAGTGTAGACACAATCTATGAAGTTTTTTCCAAATCTCAATTGTTTTTGATCAAAAACAAAACAAAACAAAACAAAAAGACTTAGGCCTGCCAGGATCTTAGAAATCATTTTGTGCAATTCTCTCATTTTATAACGGAGGAAGCAATTTCCAAAAGGTTAAGTGTCCACTCCCTCAGTAAGTGGCTGAGTTCCAACTAGGACAGAGATTGCTTAATTTCCCATTCAGTGCTTATCTCACTGTACAACAAATGGATCTGCATAAAAAGAGAGTAAAATAATCCGTTCCCCGCTACTCTATAGAGATAACTATAGCCACTGGGCACCAATGACTGGGACAAGGAATGATCAGCTAGGGCAAAAGAATATCTAAGTGGCTGTGATTAGGAAGGAAATATTACACATATGGACACAAGATGCACCTGTTTAAGATCCCCAGGACTTCTCATATGATGCAGGTTTATATTGGGGTCAATCCAAAGTCCTACCAGAGATCCACAGAATATGGAGCAAAGGAAGAAGAGGATAGTCCCTGGCAGGCCAAAGGATTCTAATATGCAATAAGAGTATTTTAGACTAAAATGCATCTCCTAGGACCTCACTGCTGATAAATGGGGTGGCTTGGGAGTTCACAAAAGTCCTCAAATTTCTTTGAGTGGGATTCAGCTCAGGCCTGAGATAATTCCCATATGGAAGATACGGACATGCTGAGCCCTCAAAACACCAACCAGCAATCCTCAAGGAGGTTGATGAGATGCTTCAGGGTCCTTCAGTATAGAAGCTAGTCTTCACTCCCTTCCCTCTACCATTTCACAAAGTGCCATATTGTGCCATTCACTCTCTAGATATCTAAAAACCCGAAACATTAAAGGAATTAAGTCCTGGGGTCCAAGCAGGAGGATACCAGGAACTTCCTGGAAAGAAATTTGTGGTTGATCTACACATACAGATGAGGTGAGAATAAATGTGAAAATAAATTTTGAGCTCTTTGGAAGAAAAGCTGTTCAATAAATTGTACTACTGTAATTACTACTGCAAAGGAAAAATCATGACAATTTCATCTCGTGACTGTCTTCTGAACAATGGGGGGGGGAGAAACATGCTCAACAAACTCTATGAATTATTATTACTATTTCAAGGTAAACACCATGATTATTTCAAGTTATTTTTGTCTCATTTGACAATGTCCCTTATTCACATGGGGACAGTGTCTTAGTAAGAGCAGTGTCTGGGTGCTTGAGTATTTGCAGCTTAAGAGTTGCTCTTAGCACTCGGAGATAAGAATGGGGGGGGGGGTCTTTCTGGAGATCCAAGTGATAACTGGAAGGTTAGGCCCAAAATTAATCCCAAAAGCATGCAGAAAAAATTTTATTAGTCCCAAAATGTTAGTCTTGGGTTGCATGGCAGGATGTTCTTTTCCAGGTCTCACTAGAGATGAAATAGGGCTATGAAGAATCTGGAACACCACAATCAATTCACTGTGAATCACTGAACAGTGACTAAACAATATTGATCCTCTAATGGCTGAAGTTGGAAGATGGATCTGCACCTTTCTTTCTTTTCCACATTAGCGTGAACCCAGTGACTCGGTGACTTTTGGGGTTCCGTGAAAACTATACTAGGTAAATGCTACTGCATCCTAGTGGAGACCAGAATTAAGTACAGATTGAGCTGACATCAGTAACCTCATTTCATTTGTAGCCTCAGTTAGATTAGCATGAAAGAGGTGACGATCATCCTGCCATACCCTGAGGTGCTGAGGGCACACACAGCCCCCTTCAGAACTGTCCTGATTCAAGACTGCATTGGCTGGAGTTGAGGCTGATAGATCTGAATGAGTGTGTGTCGTTTTCTTTTCAGACACCCTGTCTGACAGCCAGAGAAATAACAATTTTCATGAGAAATTACCAAAGGCAGTTGTTCCAGCTGAATCATTTTGAACCAAGAAAACTGTCTTGTCCAATCAGTTTATGGGGCTGTGCCCCTCCCTGCCTCCATTTACTCAGCAACTGCTCAAAATGGTACAACGTTTGACAGCTTTGCTTCTACGAGAAATAGTAACCACCTTGTCCTAAAAATTTTGTTCAGGGAGAATTCCCTGATTGGTCAAGACTGATTCTGGTACCGGAGGAATTAAGACGAAAAGCCTACCACCATCATGACATGTACTTACTCCTAATCTCTGAACAATTTCCCTTATATCATCAGTACAATTATCCACTGTAGACAGAAGAATACATTCTCCTCTTTCATAAAACACTTTGATGCTCATTAATCCAGATGTCCATCCAATAACATCTCTGCAGGAACAGTTGAATACAACGTTCTTGGTCTCCTTTTCAATCAACATGATAAACTCATTGGAGATTCCCAGGAGACATTCAATGTCTGCAGACCGGCCAAAGTCCCGTGCTATGACATTCCACATGATAGCCCCAACACTGTATAAATGAGCATCCTTCCTTGGTTTTACTTTCTCCTTTTTCTTTGCACCTAATGTAATGAAGCTGAACTTGACGGAGGTATCCACTGTAGCTGTAGTAACAAAGTTTTCTGCCAGATCTTTCAAGTATTCCTGCCTTGTTCGAGTGGCCATAGCGCGAAACTTTTCTGACTTGTGGGCTGAATTTTCAGCATTGATCACTTTGGCTAATAGGAAGTCCCTAAAAACTGCTGATTTTGGAAAAGTCACGCCTTTGGGAATCGGTGGACCAAATGGTGGTACATCTTTTGATCTTGAAACTCCAACACTGTAGGGCAGGAAAAAATAGAAAAGAAAAGAAAGTTAGTAATCAAAGCTTTCCATAGACTCATTTTCAAGTTAGCCCATCTGTCTCTCGAGCTCTTGTTCTACTAGTTTCTGGGCACACCAAAATTTTCAGTTTTAAGTTCTCTATCAAAACTATTCAAGTAAGATAACCAAGCTACTTGAGGATTACTTTACTTGTGACTCAAAATAGGAAGGTTATTCTTTTCAGTGTTCCACCCCTTTCAAATCTGGTTGTTATCTGTAAAATGAGGCCTCAGAGTCAAGGAGAAAGATTGTGAGTACACACACTGGTTGGTTTGGGATTGGGAATTCAAGTATGGACTTTAGGGGACAGTTAACAAGGAACACATTTGTTTGATCACTGGAAGTACCCATGGGAACCTGAAAGAGTATGTGCCATTTCAAGTAACATGATGATAAGCTGGGGCAGTTGCCCCCCTAAACCTGGGTTGTACAAGCATAGATTCTACCATCAAAGATCTGTACCATCCATTAAGCCTAGTCTAAGGAAACATCTCAATTCACGGTAGTAGAAAAATCAACTAAAAATATTTTTCCCAGCCATCTATAATTCATAAGCTGACTAGGAGAAATATTAACAAGAAAACAAAACACTTCAGTAGTAAGAATAGTTCTATAGTCTTCAAATTTGGAAGAAAGTGGAAGGAAACTTTTAGAGACAGAAGATTTAGCAAACCAGTTGGCTGTTAGGTGGTGGGTGGTGCTGTATTAACTTAGAGGTATTTCACCTATAATGTAATATTTTATCTGTAATATAAAATACTTGTATTTTCCCTGTAATATATTTTACGGGTAAAATGCTATATTACCAAAATGTACTCCTCACATCACCAATGATAGTTGTTAATACAACAAATATTTATTGATGCTATAAACTGCATGAGTTACAAAGATGAGTAGAGAGGTCTCCTGCCTACAAAGAATTTAAAATCTAGCTGGGCTGGGGGAATGGAAAGAAATTGTACATGTAAACAAATGACTACGATATAAGGAAGAACATGATGTGTTCTAAGAATGATTCAAATAAGTTAAGGCAATGCAGAGAGATCAAGCCTGGTGGGAAGACATAAAAAAGAGTCACAGAAGAGACAGTATTTGAATTAGACTTTGAAAAAAATGGTAGGATTATAAAGGGCTTAAATACAGAGAAGGAATGGCAATGAGCAAAAACATGGAGGTAAGAAACCATGGAGACATGTGAAAGGAGAGGTTTATATAATGAAAAAAACATGAGAGAGAAAGGATGTTTTATGACCAAACTGTGGAAGGCCTTGAAGGCCACAGTGAGGTGTTTTGACTTTATTGTGTAGCTAATGAGAAGTTGCTACGGTTTTGGAATAGTCGAAAATAGCATCTATTTTGTCCAAATAGCATTTAACAAATAACTGCATGCTTATAATTTCCAGCCTTTTGGTTGGTCAAGTCTCTCTTTGCACTTAGTTGTTAAACCTATCTTCTTAAAGTGCAGGTCTGACCACGTCACTCAATACAACACAGTCCAGTGTATCTCTACCACCTCCAGGAGCAAACATAAAAATCTTCTGGTGTTCAAAGCCCTTTTTAACCTTCTCCCTCCTACCTTTCCAGTCTTCGTATACTTTATTCATGCCCAGATACCTTGAGATCCAGTGACATTGCCTTCCTTGCTATTCCTCAAAAATGCTACTCCATTTCTCTATTGTAGGCAATTTATTGGCTGTCCCCCATTCTTGCAATTCTCTTCCTCCTTCCTCATCTCTGACTCAGGGTCCTTCAAATTCCAGCCCCAAGAAGCCTTTCCAAATTGCCCTTAATGCCAATGCCTTCCCTCTGTTTATTATGTCCAACTTATCCTGTATATATCTTCTTTGTACACAGATAGCTTCATACTGTCTCCCTCGTTAGACTCTGAGCTCCTTGAGAGCAGGGACTGTCTTGCTTTTCTGTGTAGCTCTAGCACTTAGCATAACACCCAGCACACAGGCAGTATCTAACAAATGATGGCTGACTGAACCATTCTTTCCAGCTTTTCTCTTTCTGTTGCCAATTAATATCTCTGGAAAAAAACAAACAAACAAACCCCAAACTAGTCATTTCTCCATTTTCATCATCGTGGAAATGCTGGAAGAGGTGTTTGGTTTTGATAGAGGAGAATGGGTAGTAGTGGAATGAAAGCATTTGAGTAACTTTTAACATGGTACGTATGATGATCTTTACAAATTATTTCTTGGTTAAAATTATGTCTTATCACACTCTCCGCTCATGTAACTTTGAAAACATGATGTCATAACAAGGTCAAGGATTGATACAACTACTGAATTTCAAAGAAAACTATAGATTTTTTCAATGATATGAGTAAAGTTGCATTTGTTTTGTAAGTGATCAATATGAATGTTTGTTAGGTAGAATCTGTATTTTTCCTACATGTAATTTAGGGGCTAGTTCTGGGTATTTTGGGTTTGTGTCCCTTTTTTAGGCTATAAAATGCATGCTCTAGTATTTTATCATTCATTTTTCATGAAATGATGAGTAAGACTGAATTTTGCTCAGGGCTATACCAATAAAATCTTGTCTGTGACTCTGAACAAGCTGCCTGGTCTTGTATTTAATTTGATGACTCTTCTAAGTTTGTGTCAAACTATCATACAGAAGTTTTCAAGAAGAGTGAGTTGCTTCCCATATCCTCGGTCTTATGTCAGAGTAATGTATGATCACTGCAGTACAGTTGTTTATCCTAATTAATGGCCCTTTCGTATATTTTAAAGGGCTGAAAGTAGGAGGAAAAGAAGTAACAAGAGGCACAATCACAAGAAGATAAAAAGAAGAGGCATATGTGTATTTGGGGAAATTACTTGATTTGGAATTTGGTGTGTTCCTCTTAAGATATTTTATTTTTTTAAGTGCAAAAAATGACAGAAAGGAATCTATAATTAGGAACCAAGTAAGAATTTGGGGGAATAAAGGGAAACAGATGGTGAAAAACACGACACAGAAACCAAACTAACCAAATAAATTAAGGCACACAGACTCACCTATAACACACATTTTCAGTGCAAGGATTGTGCACCTTGACAATAACAAAGACGTGCTGAAACTGAGATCGGATATTTTTTGGAGTAAAAGGAAGTGCTCCAGGCTCTTGGAAGACAATGGTAACGATGTCATTTCCTATGTGCCTTTTCCTTAGGAGCTATACATAAGAAATGGACACACAAAGAAAAGCAAATTATGAATGGAAAGATTTCTTCATACATTTTTTTAAAAAACTGCACAATTCATTGATGTTGATTTCAAAAACATTACTCAGAAAACAGAGCTATTCTTTAGAAGCTAATTGCCACAAGCTTAGCATTACCAGAGGAAACTGGGTTGAAACCAGAGATCTACGGAAGCAGCTGACAGAAGTATTCAAGTTTATACTTCTAACTTTTGAGTTCAGCCTAGGCAATCTATCTCTTGCTGATGTTGCATTCAGTTTCTTCTCATGTTTATAGCCCTTATGTGCAATGTAAGGTCTTTGAGCACAGGCACAGTTTTTGTTTTGCCTTTGTATCTCATAGTTTTTGGCACAGTATCTTACCCATGCAAGCACTTAATAAACGCCTGTAGAATTGGATTTAAAAAAAAATTAGCAGGACTTCCTATGATTTCCTAATTTTTACTAGAAGGTAAAAAGTGAGGTAAATTTTCATTTTTACATCTAATTTCTACATCTATCCAGTTACATTTCATTTTTAATCTAATTTACGTGTATATTGCAAATTTCAACTTCCTTTCATCTTCTGTTCCATTATTTAATATAAACTCATTAGAACTAAAATGACTAACAGGCAAACAGACCAGTCTTTCATCCTTACTTTTGTGGAGGGCATCATCATCCTTCTAATCATGTAGGATTTACTCTCTTCTCTTCGGTCTCCTCACCTCCCATTTCCAATCAGTCTCCGAGTCTCACAGAGACTTCAACATAGAGAAATCAACATTTCTTACATCTGTAGTCTTTCTTCTACTTAAAAAGCCAACACCTTAGTTTTAAGTCCTTGACACCTATCCCTAGGCTATTACAATAGCCTCCTAACTGGTGTCCTGGTCCCCAGGCTCTACCTTCGCCACTATATCTTCCACACAGCTATGAAATTGATGTTCTTAAAGTATGACTGTCATTCTCTTGCTCAAAAAAACATCAGTTGTGAATTTTCTCTAGGATAAACTACACAAACTCCTATTTGGCATTTAAAGTCCTTCACAGTCTGGCTTACCCAAGTTCACTGAATTTTATTCTCTTTCATGAACTACATTCTAGCCAAAATTGTCCAATTATTCTCCATATACGACACTCTCTCCCACAGTCTCTAAACCTTTGCATGGACTTTCCTCCATACCTAGAAGGTACTCTCTCCTTATAGACGTCTACCTTGTAGAATCTCTAGGTTTTTCTAAGGATCAGCTCAAGGGCCACTTCTTAAATGAAGCCAATATTGATACCCCTAGAAATTCTTTTGTATATATTTATTTACTTCATGCTGTTCCTCCCTAACAGAATATAAGCTCCTTGAGGGGAAGGAATATACGAATTTTCCCTTTTTTATTACCAGAATCTAACACAGTGCCAACCCAACACACAGTTAAAATATTGTTGCATGTATCTCTATTTGCCAAATATTTAACAATTAAGTTTCTAAAGTGATTAACTATTTTGTTTTTGTAATAAAAAAGCTGTTCTCTCATCACAGACTTCTAGGAAGCTCAGTCCAAATACTTATGATGAAAACAAAATTGCCATAGAATTCACCATGATTAAGACAATGAACATGTGAAAATGACTTCACTGTCTCAGGGCAGAGTTTGAGATTTTTAAAGCAGAGGTCATAAACACAGATCCGAATAATTAATAGAACTTATAAGGAACACAACTTTGAATCACTACCTAGAAATTTAGCTAAAATATGGTCTTTAAAATTCCCATTAAACTTAGTAGCAAATCAGGTCTCACGTCTTGTAGGATAAATTAATCTAGGATACTGTCAGGTAATTGACAGATAGAAGAAAAATAATTATGCCACAAACATGCACAAATTTAAGTAAACAAAACTCTCTTGATATCCTTGTCCCCCCATCCATGTCTCCCTCACCAACTCGGTCAAATGATTCAGATATTCCATGTGGACAAGGGAAACTAAGTTCCAGGTATGATAAATGAATGGCTTCTTGACAGCAAAAGCAGACCCTTCAACATACACTTTCTAGGTACTTTTTTTTTAACCAAAGCCAATCCCTACAGCCACTCATCCTGTCCTCCATTCAGTAAATTTAACACAAACGAATTATCAAACTGGAGAGGAAAGAATGAGATCATAGCTGTCAGGGCCAAGAAGCAAATTGTGGGGGTTCCACCTTATAGGCTGACAGTTGTGTTGTTGTTCCACATCCAGCAACCCTTTCAATTAAACAAAGATAGCAGGAAAACCAACTCATTAGGATATACATTACTGCTATTCCTATCCAATTACTCTTCCTCATTAAGGTAGTACTTGTGCCCAACTCTGTACTGCTCCACAGGGGTATTTAAATTGCAAGGTAGAGGAAATGGTAAGGCCGGTTACCTTGACAACATACTGAATCCATATTTCTCTCTCTCCAAGTACATTATTTTCCTTTGTAAAATGGGACAAAGGATGTCTTGAAGAGGTTCTACCTGAACTAACTGTAGGCACAGGGCACTTCTCAAGGAGAGAGAGCTAATTCATAAAGATAGGTAAATTGAAAGTTCTTCTGCAGATTAGCAAGGAAAACTAAGACCTTCTACGTTGCCCACATGCCCTACATAGGGCAGCCAGTACTTTGGAAGGATGATTATATGAAGAAGGCAACTTGAGGCACTGCTTAATGTTTTAAAGACTGTATCAAGCACAGAGCATCTTCAGTGGCTCTTGGGCTTTTCAAATGCAAGCAAATATTTTTGTCAGAACTAGTATGTTGACCAAAGAATAGTTCCATATATTCTGTCCAGTTAAAGAGAAGATAGAGGGAGAGACTGTAGTTACCTACACCTGTATGCACTCAAGAAAACTAAGAAGAATTAATCCTTCATGTACTTTCTGACAGTTATTAAGCAACCTTCTGCAATAATTTCTTTGAGAACGTAGATAAACAGCATTGTTTTGTTTTCCCTTTGTGACCTAGGTATCATCCACAAAACTTCAACATAATAAGGAATTTCATTAACTTCCACACACACTCAGGCACACTGAAAGGGTAACCTTGATAAACCTTAATTGACATCTGAGAGATAGCTGAGATGTTGGAGAAAGAACGCTAGCCTTGGAATCAGAGGATATGAGTTCAACTGATGCTACAATGACCTGTCAATTATAGGATCTAGGCATATCAATCTCTCTGAGACTTAGTTTCCTCTTCTCAAAGATTCCTTCTAGCTCCAATGTTCTGTGATTGTACAGAATCTATCCAGTTACATTTCAGATTTTTTTTAAGTTGTGAAGCAAGAACAAGGCCCAGTGGTTAGTGAAAATATTGTTCTTTACTCAAATCCATACTGAAAGTATGCAGACCCTATATAGATGGTGACATCCAGACTAATTTTAGGAACCGTAAGCTCCTAATGTAGAAAAGCTTCACAGGAAGCTAGGAAACCAGACCCTGTTCAAAAAAGATTAGTTTAAAGCTAATAAGGGTGAAAAATCTATGTAATTCTTTTTTTTATCATTACTTATGACATGTGTGTATATGTGTGTTTTAACAGACCTGATTCTAGGCACAAAAGTAAACCACAAGGATGTAAAGAGTAGGATTATGATTAATAATGTGATTTATAAGATGTAAGCCTAAAAAAAAGCAACTTATTTTAAGATTGGGATGAAATTCTATGAAGGTAAGTGAAACTGATAACAGTGAAGATGTTCTTGCAGTGAGCAATGATCATCTGGCAGAGAACTGTCCAGCCTGACTTTTGTGGAAATTAAAATTAGTTCATGTACTGAGTCTACAGCAGGTGCTGAGATTTAAAGGGCTGTCCTTAGTAACAATCAAAAATACTATGTTATTTCCTTCTGGAGGAGATGATAGTTGGTTCAAGTGTCCCCAATTTGTGGATTCTAGTTCAATGTTTCCTCAACTGTTTCCTGATCTCGTTACTATCAGAGAGAGGCTGTCCCTTTTAGACTCAAAGGACTTGGCTGAAAGGGGCCTCAGAGCATACTAGCGCAATGAGTATTGGAAGAGTAAGTCCTCTGTACTTTGCCAATGAGTCATCCATCCTCTCATTCCACTCCTGAACAATTCTAACAGCTAAAAAAGATTTTCTTTATTTTATTGCAAATCTGCTTCTTTCAGTTCATTGTTACTAGTTCTGCCCTATGGGCCTAAAGCCAACAAGGGACAATCCCTTCTCTACATGACGAGGCTTCAAGTATTAATGTAACATTCCCAAGTCTCTTCTATATACTCCTAGCTCCTTCAGCCAATTCTCATATATGGGATGGTTTCTAGTCAACTCAAAAACTGAATCCTTTCTTCCAGATACATACTAGCCCTTTGTATAATGTAACGCTTTCAAAAAAAAGAAAAAAGAAAAAATACTCCAGAAGTGGTTTGCTCAGTGTACTCCAGAGATACTTTTAACCTCTCTCATTCTAGTTAATATTCCTTTATTAACTTAGCACAGTATCTTAGATTTTAAAAAAAATACCACTGTTGATTCAGTAGAAAGACATTAAAAAGATGCATTACCATCTGTTTTGTCAATGCACACTAACTGAGGGACTCTGGGTCTTCCCACCTGACTTGCAGCTACAAATTTCTATATGTCTTGCCTTTCTGCATTGGATATGTGAGTTCCTTGAGAACAAGGATTGCCTTGCTTTTCTATTTGTAGCCCCAACACTTAGCATTGTGCTGTGCACAAAGTAAATGCTTAATAAATGCCTTTATTTTATTAACTACTTAATTAATTAATCTGAACTTAGTCTACTAAAACCCCTAGTCAGTCAGTCAATAAGCATTTATTAAGTGCCTACTATGCATGCTAGGTACTACTCTGAGCACTATGAGAGAAAGTCAAAAAACGCAGTTCCCGCCCTCAACAAGACTCCCATTCTAATGGCAGAGACAATATATGAACAAGTATGATATATATAAATATATATATACATATGTATGTGTATATGTACATAGTGTAAATGGTAGGTAATCTCAAAGGGAAGATACTAGAAGAATGGGGTAAGACAGAATTGGGGAACATGTGTCCTCGAGGCCACAGGTTCCCTACCTGGAGTGGAAGATCTGGAAATCTCTCTTCAAACAGCAGGGTTCTTTTCTCATGAAGTGTTACTTATCCATCTATATCTGTCCAGCTATCTATTTAGATAAGCATATGTGTGCATATAGGCATATTTATAATGTAAATATATTATGTATTATATATGCCTCCTGACCACTTATGATAGTCTAATTTATAATAATATTAGTAATGTATATACGCAGTTAAGTTTTTGAACCTAAGTAAAATACTTTACATTTACCTCTATTAAATTTTATCTTGTTAAATTTATACCTCATCCAATAATTCGAGAAGATCACTGTGCTGGATTGAGGTGGGTGGGTTGGGGGAAATAGGAAATAGGCTTACAGAAAGAAGAATGAGAATTAGACCATTACTAGAACACGAAGAAAGAACATGACTCCACCCCAACCCCACTACGGGGGAAGGAATAGGGTAACAATTTTAAAATAAAATAACAAGAGTAAAGTAACAATGTTCTATATCACTTTGGGAGTAAATCTCTGTAAGTGGCAACCTTTCTTATACTGGTCTTCATAAAAGTCTGAGGAAGGACAGGTAGCCTATGTCACTTACAGACACTGTTGATAGCTCTGTACCCATCCCTAACGTTATCCCTAACATTTTATGCATATATACACACACACACACACACACACACACACATAAATGTATATATATATATATATATATATATGTATCTTTGTTCCTTACTTGTATTTCCTGCTTATTTTCAGTTTTGCCTTAGGCTTGTCAGGGGTGTACAAAAGCACTAAATAAACACTCTGGTCATAGTCAAGGAAAAAGAAGATTGAAGCATTGATTTAATTCAATTCATCTTAAACACATTTATTAAATGTCTACTGTGTAGACATCAGCAAACAGGCATACAAAGACAAAAACCAAATAGTCTCTCCTCCCCCCCTTAAGGAAGTTAAATTCTATTAGGATATATGTATGCGAAAATAAGTAAACATCTGGTAATTTGAAGAGAAGATAATATTGACTGTTGAGACATAAGGCCAATTCTGCCACTCAGCACACATTCCTGATAAATGCATTTTGAAACAATGCCACCACCCAAAAAAAGACATTAACAGAAAATAGAAATTTTGAACAAACTGGAGTAGGGGAACTGTAACAATCAGATGAAAATTAGTGAATAAAGGTTGAAAAGGAGAGAGCTGGGCTTACAGGAGAGAGCTGTTTTAAATAAAGAGATTCCCAAATCCACTATCAATAAAAAAGTAAAGTCAACTTAACTTCCAGTTCCTAGATAAAATGATATCCAATTTATCTGGACAACAATTAAGAGATTTCAAAAAGTTCAGGGTAAAGATAGGTGGCACCCCATAGACTAAAAGGACAAGATAAATCTTCCTAGGATGGATAAAAGATGCCAAAGAACGGAATTCTGAAGACATAACGAGAAACAATTCCAAAGGAGCAAAATGAAATTTGTGAGAAGAATCTGAAGTAGATGCACTGGGAACTCACATTTAAAAAATAAAAAATAAAGAAGCAATGTCAGGAAACAAAGAGAATGAGTAGAAGAGTGTGGCAGGGTCCTATAAAACTCCTGTGTAAAGGAGCCGAGGTTGGTGAGCGAAACTAAGGACAACACAAGAGTTTTTTATACCTATGTTAGAAAGGGAAAAAGAGGATTAAAGAATTAAAGAAGGGATAGGACCTTTGGTTGGGGTGGATGGAACAATGATAACTGACAATGGGCAAAAAGCATTTTTTCTTTTTTTTGCCAAATCTAAATAACTAGGAGTTGCTATCTAACATAAGTAAGGACACAGAAAGAAGCATCTTGCTGCCCTTGATGAAATCAAGTAACTGGTATGATGAGTATGACAGTCAATCAAAAAACATTTATTAAACATCTACTATGTGCCAGGTACTTTGCTAAATGCTGGGGATACAAAAAGAGGCAAAAGACAGTCCCTGCCCTCCAAGAGCTCACAATCAAATGGGGGAGATAACAAGCAAATGAATATGTATAAATAAACTACATACAACATAAACAGAAAATAATTAACAGAGAAAAGACACTAGAAGTAAGAGAGGTTGGGAAACGCTTCCTGTAGAAGATGGCACTTCAGTTGGGACTTAAAGGAAGCCAGAGAAACCCTTAAGTAGAAATAAAGGAGAGAATTCTAGGCATGGGGGGGCAGTTTATTTAAGGTTTACATTCAGTGCACTTTCTATTCATTATCTCATTTGTTCCTTCTAACCCTGTGAGCCAAGAAAAAGAAATGTTACTTTTGCCATTTTACCTATTTAGAAACTGAGGCTGAAAAGCTGTGACTTGAACATATGATTTACTTAAGCAATCTAGATGAATTAGTGGGAGAGTCAAGATACGAGCAGAGTTTTGAACACTCAGCTGTCTTGAGCTCTCGGGCAATTATCAAATCTATTTATAATTGACACTCTTTTATTATATTATAGCTGATTCAAATATATCTCCCTTTCTACACAGGACTTTGGAATGTGATCAGTCATATAACAAAGGATAAGCATTTTACTTATCCAAAATATCATGCATCATTACAGGTGAACCCAAGGACTATGTGTAAGTAAACTCAAGTACTGCTGTCCTCACAAAGTCACTTAATGATTCTATCCTTATTACCTTCTATTTTTGGATTAATCTTCAAGAAGAGTTCTTGAATATACACACACACATATATGTATGTATTTATACATTTCATAAATTATATATAGGTATATGTTTTTCATGTGAACAGACACTAGTTACTGCCTTGCTTATTACTGCTGTAGGGTTCTCCGCTGGAATCATTATTAGTCAAGAGCATGATTTATTTGATCGTCTCTAGTGCCCTTTCTGATTATATCTGCATTTCAGAAAAGTTATGGCTTCTCCAGATGCTATTCACAGAAGGCACTGCATGAAATGAACTGAACCCTAAAATAATACATAGCCTCCAGAATTAGGTCTACAGCAAAGAGAGGAAGATAAAACTAACCATCCATGTAGGAAAAATGAAGTAGATAAAAACAGTATATTGCCTAGAAATGCAACATGTAACCATTCAAATCATAGTCAAATCATATTTCAGATGAATGATGAACCCCTGGGCCAAACACTAGGCAGAAGAAAGTGGCACTGGATTGCATTTGGGGACCTGGACAGAGCTTTCAATGATCCCAAAATGCTTGTTGTCACAAAAACCTATCTTTAACTGTGTCTAATATCTTAGAAAAATTAGAAATGTGAATAACTCAAAAGGCAATGAAAACTCTATGGCGAACATCAGGAGGATGAATCACGTTATTGACAGTAACCTGCACCTAAGATACAGTGGAAGATCAATTACTGAAGATATGTATGATAGGACAAAGAGGAAGGCCACTAATGGGGTAATGGGGTGGATGATTCTAATAATAACAATAACAATGATAATAATAGCTGACTTTTCTAGAGCATTCAATGTTTGCAAAGCATTGCACATATCTTGCTGAAAAATTAAAAAAAAAAAAGAAGATGCTTTCCCCCATCCTGTCTACTAAGCGGAAACCTTTTTACAGGATTTCTGAGAAAACATATCAAGAATAGCACTGTGATGAAATTATGGATCCACAGCAAAAGAAAGTTACATCAGAGAGGCATGACACGGTCGGTCCACTTAGACCAGGGGTTGGCAAGCTAAGGCCTGCCGACCAAATGCAATCCCTGGTATAAAGTTACTCTAAACAAAACACTCTCAAATGGCAATGCATATGTTACTTAAATAGCAAATACACAACTAGTAATCTAAATATTTACAGAGTCTAAGTTGGCTACCATATCACCATTCCTATTTAATTAAAAAAAAACGGAGAGCATCAGAAAGAGAAAACATACCTGTTGCCTATTATTGGGCATATAGGGTAGCATAGTTGACACATGAAACATTACTTCATAATCTTTATAGGTGGTATAGAGAGAATGGGTTCCTGTGGAATCCGCTGAAAATAATTACAAATTACAATTACAAAACAAAGTCAGGAGAATACAAAATCTGTACCATACGTTATTTAAAAGTTGAAGGTCACAACTGGCTAGAACTCTCAGTTTTGAAACTTAGAAAATAGCATAATGCAATTAAATTGCTGATCATCTATCAACAGACTCAGTATCTTCAACTATTCTTCCCTCAGGTTCTGCCTTCTTCCCATTCAATCTCTACCTATCTACTTTGTATTTTTCTTGAACTTATGCCTGGGGCATAGATAGGATGTAGTGGGACAATAGAGGGCTTTGGTGAGTGTGAAACTATGGGCACTGTTCTTCATATGTGCAAAAGGATTAGGGACCAATACATGACTATCACTCCCTAATACACTCAATATCTATGAAAACTGGCGTTTGCTATATAACTCTATTTGTGACGAGTTCCTGACTGAAGAGTGGCTTATCTGAAGCTCAAGATGATGAACGAGGACTCCAAGTTAATCTAAATTATTTCAATATGCAGTAAATCTTGTTAGTCTCAGACTTTTATCCTAGCTTTAGAATGAGTAAGCCAGTTATAACTAGTAATAGTAAATCAATGGATCAAGGTGTGGAAAATGAATTCAATATTTTGTACAAAAAACTAATATGTGTGTATGTATAAATATATACATATACATGTGTATATATATAATATACTGTGACTTCTGGATTAATCATGATCATTTACTTCATCTCAACTGATTAGTTCTACTGTTGCTCAGTTGTGTCCGACTCTTAATGACCCCATGGACCATACTGTCCATGAAGCTTCCTTGCAAAGATACTAGAGTGCTTTGCTATTCCCTTCTCCAGTAGATTAATTCTAGGACTGGATAAAAACTGAAAACACAAGGTAATCTATGACCCACTAGGACCATTTTAGAGACAGGTAAATGAAGGCATAGCCACTTTGCCCAAGACCATGCAGGAGAGAAAACAGAAACTGAATCTAAGAAATCTCCCTGTCATTCCCATTTTACCCACAACCTCCTATTCTCAACTTTTGGACAACAAAAAAGAAGCTGCTTTAACAATTGTTATTCAGTACCACCTGAAACAAAGACATTCTTTGTACAGGCACTCAAGATACCAATCATCATAGCTACAAATTACTTAAACATTCATGTAACCTTAACATTTTTTCTATTATGTTCCCTATTATTCCATTGCAAAAGAGCCATTTCTATGTTCACTTTTAAAATTTGTATAGAAAATATATCTTGTATAACCTTTAGAGACTATGAAAATTATTCAAATGAAATGATTCATTGGCTAAAGGTTAGGGCTCAAAACAGAGAGATATTGATAAATCAACTTCCAGATTGACATACATGCTATTAACCTAATAATCTGTGCTCTAATTTGTTAAAACCAAAAAGTATTTTCATCCTTAACTTCTCATTAATTGGGAACAGCATGTTTCTTACCTTTTACCGAAGTTCTTAGGAAGTAATATTCCATTTGGATTCTCTTGGCTAAGAACCTTGAAATTGAACATTGGTTTGGAAGTGAGCAAGCACATTTATACTGTAAAGATAAAAGCCCCTTCAATGAGGAATTGAATTACTTGGCTCACTCATAAATATGCTGAAGGTCACTGACTAGAATGGCCCAGGTATATTCAATTACTCCAACCACAACAGCCTGTTATTATAAAGGCTAAAATTTAGTAGGAGAATTACTGATGACGATTTAATAGTTTACGGTAAAAGTCTTAGGCTCAAAAAATGGCAAAAGAATGGAGAAATGTCCATTTTTAGAAAACCCACTTTTATAATGTGGTTCCAATTGGCCTACCCAAAGCATTATTGCAAAAGAGTTTCCCAAAACTAAATATTCATGAAGTTTCTAAGAGAGAAAAAATGACACACTCTATTTGTAAACCTTATTGCCTGAATCTTTCTATGCTGAGACATAACGTACTGTGATTCAATTTTGACAACTTGCCCTCTTTTGCTGTTTTTAGAAGCTAGATAACCTCCCTAATGGTCTATCGAGTACAGACTCTTCCTTTGGTAGCAAAGCACATCTGTATCCTGGCATTGTGGCTAGAGGGCTGGATGTGGTATGAGGATGAATTGCATTAGAATCCCACGTTAGATACTTTGCACAATGCCTGGTACATATTCCCATTCCCTTACATTTAATCTTGTTAGAGAAAGATAGAAACTTAGATTTTTGGGGGGCGTGGTATGACAATCGAGGTTAAGCGACTTGCTCAGGGTCACACAGCTAGAAAGTGCCGTGTCTGAGGTCGGATTTGAACTCAGGTCCTCCTGGCTCCAAGACCAGAGCTCTATCCACTGCACCACCTAGCTGCCCCAGAAACTTAAGATTTTTAAATTACCTTCAGCTTTATCAAGTCTGTTCTCATTTATAGAATAAACTGACACTCAGACAAGTTAAGTGACTAATTTAAGCAAGGACTAGGATCCAGGTCTATTTACTGTCAGGAGTCAGGTTTCTGTTGTTCTTTGGACAGATATTACCAGTCATTACTCCTGAAATTATATTGTCACCATTTTTCTGCAATATATAGTTTTTGGAAGGAAGGATTATGTCTTATACTTTTCTGCATCACTGATAAGGCCTAATGTGGTACATATAACATTTAATGGGAGCTCAAAATGGTTCTGGGTTAGCTAATTTAATATAATTGTGAAAATATGTTAGAATTTCAGGTGCATCTATAGGTAGCTGAAGATTTCCTGGACCTCTAGGGTAAAAGTACATTGAGGTAATATGCTAAATTAACCTCACAGACCAGGGTGCTAAAATGGTATTTTAACCATTTTACTGGTACTTTAATTTTAATTAAAAGTAATTTTAATGGCATTTTAATACCCACACTATTGAGTAGAGATGTATGGTAGAGTGGAAAGACATCAAAAACTGTCTGAAAAAATTAAGTAACTTATATTGATTAAAAGTGGAACTCTAATGATAGCCACATATCTTGCTATATTCAGCAATACAGAAAAAGGTACATTGCTGATTAATCTAGGGAGAGAATAGTAATAATTCATCATCATTAACTGAACTTCTAGAATAAACAGTGTTCAGATAGGAAAAATAGAGCAGAGGAAAATAATAACAGTTAACATTTCCATCAAGATTTGAGATTTGCTAAGAACTTTACATATATGATCATCTCATGTGAGCCTCACAAAAATCCTGAGAGGTAAGTGACATTATTATCCCGATTTTACAGATGAAGAAAGTAAGGATGAAAGAGGGTAAATGACTTGCCCACGGTCAAAGAGGTAGAAGGTATCTAATGTGGGATTTGAATCTAGGCTCCCCTGATACCAAATTCAGTACTGTAGCCACACTATGCCAAGCTGTCTCTCAAAAAAACCAAAACTAGCAGACTAGAATTGGGAGACCTGGGTTCTAGTGCCTCCTTAGCAGTATGGCCTTAGGAAGAAGTCACTTTATGTCTCCAGGTGTCCATTTCCTACTCTGTAAAGCAATGTCAAACTCTACTAGAAATGGGGCCACTAAACCACATTGAAGGATTCCGACAGGTAGCATATTGACTCAGAAAACCACATAACATTATCTATGTTCTATTGTATTTTTTATTTATTTTGTTAAATATTTTCCAATTACATTTTAATCTGTTTCTGGCCCAGCTCAGGAGTGTCCTAGGCCCCAATGCATGTGTTTGACACCTCTCCTGTAAATAAATCAATTGGGCTATGTGGTCTCTAAGGCACCTTCTAGCTCTCAAAAGCTATGATTTGTTTGTACACATAGATGTTTTCATGTCACCTCTCTCATTAGACTATGAGATCTCAGAGAATAGGGACTTGGCTCTTTGTTTGTTTTTTGGTTTGGTTTTGGTTTTCTCTTGTTGTTGCCTTTTTTTTTTTATTTCGAGGCCTTAGCACAGTGCTGGGTACTGCTAGCATGTGCTTAATAAATGCTTATTGCTTTATTCAAATGCTTGACTTTGATTACAGTTTTTTTAACCATGAATTTCTATCTGCGGAACACATGAATAACCTAGAACTTTGGATGGGAGGGGACTCTAGATGTCATCTGGTATTATCCACTCTTTTTACTGGTGAGGTCACAGAGGCCTTTATAACCAGCATCTTTTTTGTTGTTGGTCTTAAATCCTTTCATTTGTGTCCAACTCTTCGTGACAACATTCGGGGTTTTCTTGGCAAAGTGGAATGGTTTGTCATTTTCTTCTCTAGGTCATTTTACAGATGAGGAACAAGCGCTAATAGTGTTAAGTGACTTGCTCAGGGTCACATAACTAGTAAGTGTCTGAGGCCAGATTTGAACTGAGGAAGAGGAGTCCTCCTGATTCCAAGCCTTATGCTTTAGCCACTGAATAACCTACCTGCCCATAATGAGCATCTGCACTGTGTTTTAATCTGATTATTATAAGTGAAATAACTGCTGCAAAAACAGGCAAAAGAAAAACATGGTAGTGTGACTACAACAAATAATTCTGTCCTAATGAAAACATTAGAAGTGTATCTCCAAAAAATCAACAATTCCTTTGTTTTAAATAGGCTACCTCTTCAACAACACTTGCTCTGAACAACAACAAAATCTGTCAAAGTTCATACTACAGTGTGATTCAACTGCCTTATCGTTACTTCACCCCTTCCTCCAACACAAGCTCATTTCCATGAAGAGAAAACTGTACACGGTTATGCATATTAAGCATTTTATGACCAGGAAGTAAATGTCCTACTTTTCCTCATTATACACTTAATGGAAACACAAGAGAAGAGGTTTAAGACAAAGAAAGAAAATATTACAACAATTTTCACCAACACAGGGATTTGGTTTGTTTGTAATGGTGATATGCAGCCCAATTCCCTGAAGAATGGACTTTTTTTTCTGGTCATCTAAGGAAATCTACACTCGTAAGCCTCCTTGTTTGCTTCTGGGGTCAAGAACACAGGGCCATGTGCTTCTAAGTGATGACTTATAAACGTGCCTAGTTCTGGACACTTAAACTTTCACATATTCAGAATAACTTACTTTTAGTATCTAGCTGAGCTCGGTATTTGCTAAAACCTTTCAGCCGTACTCTTTGGCCCAGAAGATCCAGGAATTCTTCAAAAGCAGGTCCTGCTGTCTCATTGTTATACATCTCTTCTTCGGTGCCCTGGCCTGCTTTGCAATAAAGGATCCCAATCTTGTGCTGAAAGCTCAACTGAAATGAAAAGAATTTTAAAAAAAGCAATTACTTGGCAAAGAGTGTCAGGCAGCATCTCAAAGTAAAATTAAAGTCACAGAAGCTTAGATTTATGTTTTCAGAAAAGCTAGCCAGAACAAATCCCAGAGGTAAGATGATAATCGGCTGTTAACGGACACGATGCTCCAGAAAAACACAACAAAATCTCTATCACAAGAAAAAAAATTCACAATACAAAGACTGGAGAAATATTTTTTAAAGAGATAAAAAACATAATTGATAGCTACCTATGAGAATAGAATTGATGGCCACTCGTGATTAGCCAGTTTCCCAAAAGGGATAGGCAGTTCATTTTGAGGCACCCAATCAACCATTCAGCATTCACAACTGTAGAAATAGTCACGCATACCCTGTGCCATAATTAGCACTATCTAATTGTCTCTTCTCTCAGGTCAAAACACAGGCTGGAAAGTATTTTCATAGACTGTTAGCTTTTAAAAGCTTCTCATATCTAGTCCTTAATGCTTTTCTATGTCAGATTTTACACACACACACACACACACACACACTGGTGTGTGTGTTTGTATACATACATATGTAAATTTAGACCAATATCACAAAATATTAGTACCAAAAAGGGATTATAGCAAACATCTAATCAAACCCATTGCTTTTTAACTTATGAGAAAACTACAGGGGTTTGGAGAGACAATATCTTTCAACTAAGTTATACACCAAGGAAGAGGTATAACTAAGTTTGGAATAAGATCCTCTCAGTTCAAATTCTGTGTTTTTTCCATTATACCAGGTTTCCATTGGTCTGTGTTTGCATGTGCACAAACAAGTGTAAAGCTGTAACAACTTCCATTAGAACAAAACACAGGGGTGTGTGTGTGTTTGTGTGTAAGAGGGAGCCTTTTTTCACCCCATAAAAGTACCCTTGGCTACACAATAACAGTCATTTCTTCCTTATGTTTTTCAATATCTTGAACAGAAAACATCTGTTAAAATATACAATATGCTATAAATAAATTCAACTTTAATTGAAGAGCTCCTGCTGTAGATTTTTCAAACAGCCGATATTATGTCATGGTGGTAGTAACTATTTTCCTTAAGATAAATAATTGGCTCAGTGTTTTTCTATAAGCATTCTCTCTCTATCTCTCTGTCTCTCTCGTTCCCTTTCTCTCTCTCTCCCTCATCATAACTACTAATTTTGCTACCTGAACATCACAAACAGATTGTCATTACCAATTCTCATCACACATCTTTCTCCACAAAAACTCACATTTATTTTCAATCTGTAAATGTATCTTGATTTAAAATTCACAGTGAATAATTCCAACAAAGTATCTGAGTATATTACTCATATCCTTAGAGCAACAAGATGATAAAAGCTTTATTACTTACTACATTACGTAGCAGTGGTAATACATGGGAACTATAGATATACATGTCTGAATAATTAGGGAAGGCTGCAGAGAAGAACGTTTGGCATATAGGACACTATCCTAGGTCTTGGGGGAAAATATCATGTCTCCTTCTGCCCCTCCAGGGGGAAAAAAGACATCTGGTCCTTACTATTATTTAAGGAGCTACAATGAAATTAGATTTATAGCAATTCTTTAGAAATCTTAAGACTTATCAGCATAATATAGTAAGTTCTCATTTACCCTTTACACTTAGGGAACAGAGGTTGTCCAAGTGATTGATATTTTAATGAACTAAAAGTAACCAAGCTATGTAAGGTATCATGCAAGTAACCATATGTACCATACAGAGCTGACCACTGCTGAGGAAGCTGGGTGGTACAGCAGATAGTATGGGGCTTGGAGTCAGGAAAACTTGAGTTCAAATCCAGCCTCAGACACTTACTAGCTGTGTGACATTAGGCAAATCACTTAACTACCATCTGCCTCAGTTTCCTTATCTGAAAAATGGGGATAATAACAGCACACATCTCCCAGGGTTGTTTTAAGGATTGAGATAATATTCATAAAGTACTTTGTAAACTTCAAAGAATTATATAAATGTTAGCTATTATCATTATTATTATTATTACCACAGTACAGCAATAAATAGCAAACACTAACTGTCATAGAATTGGAGTTTGATACTTTAGGTAAGGAATTATAGCACCACAGTTTTAGAGGTGGACATGGTCTTAGAGGTCATCTAGTTTAATTCTCAGTTAGATGGTGCTGTGGATAAAGCTCTAGGCCTAGAGTCAGGAAGACCTGAGTACCAATTCAGCTACAGATTCTTACTATCTGTGTGACCCTGGCCAAGTCACTTAACCCTGTTTGCCTTAGTTTCCTCATCTGTAAAATGAGCTGGAGAAGGAAATAGCAAACCACTTCAGTATCTCTGCCAAGAAAACTCCAAAAAGGGGTCACAAAGAGTCGGTCATGACTGAAAACAACTGAATAACAACAACAACCACAATAAAAGTTGAATCCTCTCATTTTATATAAAGTGACCCTGAATGGTTAAGTCATTTCCCCAAGATCACAGAAATAGTAAGTGGCAGGACTGAGATTCAAATAATAATCTAATAATTTCAATAATCTAAACTCTCTTAGATGACTTAAGAGGCACCAAGAGGGAAATGAAGAAAATTAAGTTCTACTTTTGAGTTTCAATCAAGAAATCAGGAACTTTTAAGTTCCTACTACTCGCTAGGCTATGTCAGACACTGAGGGTGCACATACAAAGAATGAAACAATCCCTACTTGCAAGAAGTTTACATTCTGGCTGAACAAGTTGTTGTATATGAATTTAACGGAATACTATTGTGCTATAAGAAGTGATGAGCAGGCTGACTTCAGAAAAACCTAGAAAGACTTGTATGGACTGATGCTGAGTGAAGTGAGCAGAACCAAGAGAATGTTGTATACAATAACAGCCAAGCTGTGCAATGACTAATATTGATAGACTTAACCTTTCCCAGCTATACAAGGATCTAAGACATCTCCAAAGGCCTCATGAAGGAAAATGCTATCCACATCCAAAGAAAGAATGATAGAGTTTGAATGCAGATCGAAGCACACTATTTGCTATTTTTTTTCTTCTGTTGTGTTTTGTTTCCTCTTTCTGGTGGTTCCTTCTATTGCTTCTAATTCTTCCTTACAACATCCCTAATGTGAAAATACGTTTAATAGGAATGTATATGTATAGCCTATATCAGATTGTGCACCGTCTTGGGGAGGAAGGTGGGGAGAGAGAGGGAGAAAAATTTAAAACTCAAAAGATTATGGAAGTGATTGTTGAAAATTTAAAATTAATTAATTAATAAAAAAGTTTACATTCTAATAGGGGAAACAACAAGTACATATAAAACACATACAACCTAAGTCTATTCAGCGAATAAAAACAAATATATACAGGGGGTAGTTTAGGAGGAAGGGTCCTAGCATGAGGGAAAAACTTCATGCAGAAAATGGTACCAGAGTGTCACCTTTTTTTTTAACGCAACGAAAAAGTCAGTTCCATCTTCTGTGATCTATCCGTTGTTTGGCCGTGAATTGTTCCACTATCCATACATCTGAAAGGTAATTTATTCCTTGCTTCTCTGATTTGTTTCTGCTGTCACCCTTTGGGTCTAAATCGTGTATCCTTTGGAGCTTATCTTAGTATGAGTTATGATTTGTTGGTTTAGATCTAGCTTCTAGCACACTGAAATGCTAGAAAGAGAGAAACTGTGAATGAGACAGAATGAGAAAGTATGTTGCAGGCGTGGGGGATAGCCACTAAGTAGCAGCATGACTACGATCATGTTATTAAAAAAAAAAAAACTGAAGGAATCGATATGTTTAGGTTGGAGAAGAGATGATTTAAGGCCATTTTGGCTGTGTTTGAAGGGTCATCTCATGGAGAAGAAAGTAGACCCGTTTTGTTTGGCCTCACAAGGCAGACACCATGGGTGAAAAATGCAAAGAGCTAAGTAAATTTAGGCTCAATGTAAAGAGAAATGAACAATGGGCTGCCTTGGGAGAAGCAGTGGATGCCTCACCCTAGGTCTTCAAGGGCTGGATAACCAATTACAGAGCAAAGACCAGAAGGGATTACTAGGATGGTGTGAGTGGGGTGGGATGGCCTCTTCCATCTCTCCCAATAGAGATTCCATGACATTGGATGTGTCATTTTTTCCGCTCTTAACTTCACTTTCTTCCTGTATAAAATAAAGGAGTTGACCTAAATAATTTCTAAGGTTCAGCTCTAACATCCTATGACTTATTTCATGATCTTGCAAATGCCTCAAGAGATGATAATTTTCCATTAATTCTGACATAATGTTGATATAGAATGCATGAAGGGAAACTCTTGATTAAAAAAAAAAAACTCTAACACTTCTTTGTTTGGTTTTCTACACTTTTAAGAGTAGAGTCCAGCTTATGGGGAGAAAATGACAAGTCTACACTACCTGTACGTATTATACCATTATCAAGATTATGGATAAAAGGGAATCACATATACTGACGAATATAATTGGGGTAGATGCCTAACAATAATTACATGAGGCGTCATAATTTGCATATGTAATGTGGAAACTTAAAATAAGAGGTAAAATCACATTTCTTTGGACAGAATTGGGTTTTTCAGATGAGAAATGCAAAAGCAATTCATTGCAACTAACATTAGATGCTGACTGTGTGCAAAGCACAATGCAAGGCTGAGTGAGAAATACAAAGTTAAAATGCTGTGATATGTTGGTATTCCACTACAATGGCCTATTATTTCACAGTCATAATTTGGCAGAAATGGCTGCTAAAACTCTTAATTACAAATTACGAATCCAGTCGATAAAGTGATCTACTGAGGCTCCCCCTAAGCACTTTTCTCAACCTTCTGAAAGTAATCCAATCTAGTATAGTCAATGACTCAACGGCCTCTCTGGCACATCAGAAGGCAGCACCCTGCCTTTCCTGTTTCCATTCACCATCTGAGGCTACCACCCAGAGATTCTGGTTCTACTTGCTATCTATTGAGCAAGAGGCGCAATTCAAGGGCCCGACTTC